GCAGGTCCCGCCTCCCCTGGCCGCGTGCACACACACGCCCACCGCGGCTGGGCTGGCGGAGCGCGGGCGAGTGTGAGCGCGGGCGAGTGTGAGCGCGAGTGTGCGCACGCCGCGGGAGCCACTCTGCCCTCTCCTCGCACCCTGCACAGGGCATCTCGAGAGCCTGGAAACGTGAACAGGCTTAAAGTATGGCATGTTGCGAAGATGGTTTCTGTCCAGAAGGTACCCGCGATCGCGCTGTGCTCCGGGGTCAGCCTTGCGCTTCTGCACTTCCTGTGCCTGGCGACTTGGTGAGTTCCGGGGGGTGGTGGGGTGGGAGGGTGTCATAGGGTAAGGGTGCATGGGAAAGGTGGACAAGTGTCCAGATCCACAGCACCCCCTTGGACCACTCATCCTTCCCCGAGTGAACCAGATCTTCCTGTCTTCAGTATCATATGGGCTAAAGCCAAGCTTTCCCTTGACTGAGAGCAGTGGGCAGTTGGGTGCAGGAAGCGCGGGTGCTGGGGTACATGCTGCCCGAGGATACTTGCAGTCTGGGAGTGCGTGCTGCCCAGGGATACGCTTTTCCTGACCATTTTGGTTCTTCATATCCCAACCCCCAACCCTTCTTTAGCTTAAGGCCAGCGACTCTTTCCCTAGAAGGCAACCCCTTTTCCACCTGTTCTCAGATTCATTCTTAAAATAGTCTTTTCCACCCCCGTTATTTTTGCACTTGCAGTTTAAACGAATCCCCAGGACAGAACTCAAAGGACGAGAAAATGTGCCCGGAAAATTTTACCCGTATCCTGGACAGTTTGCTGGATGGTTATGACAACAGGCTGCGTCCTGGATTTGGGGGTACGGATTGTTTCAAAACACGCAAGTGTGCTCTGTGTGTCCGTCTCTGGTCTGCTTGTCTATTTGTGGAAATATCATTAGGTGCGCCTCACGTGCAAAAATAAAAACCAGTCATTCTCTCGAGCGCCTCCCCCCTTTCTCTCTTCCTCTTCTCAGTGAGACCTATGACAAGAAGACCGCCTCCACCCGTACTTTCCCATCTCCCCGCCCCCTCAGGAGCTTGGCCTCCCCCACACTAATTACCTCCTGAGACCTGACTGCAGGGTGGGGGAGACTGGGAAGTCAAAAATGAACTCAGAGCCGCTGCACTGTGGCTGCCCGGCTTCTCTGAGCCACAGTATGGGGTTTGCTTCCATGAATCTGTCCACTTTGCACAGGTACATTGTTGCACTGGAGGTAGCTGGCTTCAGGTCTTCTCTCCTCCCACGTGTTCCTCCCTCTGCCAAAGGTTCACCCTGTGTTCCACCTAGGACAGGAATCTGGGACACGAAGCTGAAGCCGGCTGCTCTGCTGGGGAACCCAGTCCTTTCCTACTATCTTCTCACTTTCTTTGGGGTGCTGGTCGCTCACATTTCTCCTCTAATGCTTCAGAAGTGTATAGCTTTATTTCCTCCTCCAATCAGTATCTGTAAAGCGCTCAACAGAGACACATTCACAGCACGTTTTTCTCTTACCCTATTCCCTTTGTATATAAAATAGTTGACTACATGCAAAGTTTGGGTCTAGGCATTGAGTGCTCTGAAATCAGATAGAATTCACCTCAGACATTCCAGCAATGCAGTCCACCAGGGAAAAGTGACTTGCTAAGATATTGCTTGGTTTGGCTCAGTCGTCTGAATGCCAAGTCCCTGTCCTTTCTACTGTAAATGAGTTAAAGAAGGCCTCAGACCTAGAGTCGTCAAAATTCTTGTAATGATAGGAATGATAACCCTAACGACCATTGTTATTGCTTATTTAATTAATTTCAACTAGATCAGCATTTGGTGTACATTATTGTCAACTCTCACAGCAACTCCAAGAAAACGCTGTGGCTTTCCCCATTTGACAGATTTGAAAAGTTAGGCTGATTCAAGTCGAGTTTATGGATTTGTGCAGAGGTGGCATTTTGTATTTACAGGAGAACGCCAGTAGATTGGGTTGATGTTCCACACTGAGTGGTGGGATGAGGAAAAGGTGAACTTAAAGCTTGCCGGGGGGGCGGTGCTCTATGCCTTCGATCGAGGCTGCAGAGGAGGGAGAGTGGGAGAGGAGATAAAATAGGATCCTGGAGTGGAGAACACATGGGTTCTGAGGAAGAAGGACTGTAGACCGAGTGAGAAGCGATGGTGGGACAAAGTAGACTTGGGGAGAATCGGGAGGTGGCTCTCTGGAAGGCAAGACAAACGAGGGCACTACAGACAAGGGAGAATTTGATGGGGGCACATAGCACATTAGTGATGGACTGCCATCTGGTCTCCGGCCCAACCCATTTTTTTTTTTTCTGGATTTGATGGCAAACGTTTTGTGAAGGAGTGAGCAGATTCCTTGGGTGTCTGTATATTGTCAGTGTTAAAGGTGGATGACGGAAGGAAGTGTCTCCTGCTTGGTTCCTTTATTGTCTCTCCCAGTATAGGGTGCCCACATCCCATTTGCCTTCATGAAAATTTGAAAAGAGACTTCATTAGAGAAAGGAATCATTTGTCAACGTGCGGGCTCTCATAAGTGACGAGGAAATCATCAGCTGAGGTCAAAAATAGTTTTGTTGAGAATTCTCTAGATGATGTGATACAATTTGAAACTACATTATGGCAATAAAAGAGGCTTTATCTTCCCAGAAGGGTTTTAAACTTCACATTTCATGTATAAAAGTATGAAAAATATAACTCATGTAGTTTAAATATTCATAAATGAAAGTACAATTTATAGTTGGATCTATATGACTTTATTAGTAAGTGTTGAAAGTAAAAATATGTTCGCTTGGCTGTAAGACAACTGAAAAAAAAGAAGACAGGGATCTTCCGTACAGGAGCATTTTTACCATGTCCTCTTTCCTCTAGTACTGTGGGGACCACAACGTGAGTGCTGGATTCGGGTCTCAAGGCCGTTACCATTCATCCTTTTTGACCTTGCTGTGTGATCTGCATCTCTGCTCACCTGGTCATCTTTTTAAACCGTTGTAGGGCAGGGTTGCAGTTATCTTACATTGAGCGCTAGCAGGTGATTAATTGCTTATGAAATTACCACAAAGCACAAAATTAGGGATTTTTTTTCACTCTGCTCGTATTTGTGGTCAGATGACTGACTTTTCAGAAGTGGGACAGTCTCTGTAAACATGTCATATTCCAAACGTGACAGAAGGGTGCTAATTATCACCTGCAGTAAGTGAATTATCTGTTTATATGAAATTTTAATTGTGAGCTACTTAAAATAAAAGGAAACATTATTGTCATCATATAACTTTATAGGCCACAACCTTCGTCTCTTCTATGACATGACATTTTATACTTTGTGGAAAGTTTGGCATTTTAAAAATAAGATGAAAACCATTCAGACTTTGGCCAAGGTATACTGTAAATATGGATTGACTTCCTGCCTCCTTTAATCCCATTTCAGCTCTTTGTGGGACATTTACTTTTTATCTGTTTATACAACTTAGCTCTGTTCCATTTAAAATAAAGCTAAAAGCAAAGATGTGAATTGAAATCGGATGGTTTGTGACTACTCAGTAGGCCAGGCAGAGGTTGAAATAGATTTGGAAACCAAATTATGTATTTTTAACTCAGCAGCACAGCTTGCTGTGGGGAGATAAAGGGAACTGAAATGGTTCTCTCTCTTCATCCCCCCCAGGAACTCCTCTCTCTTGTCTCCACATTCCCCTGTTGGGGAAGAAAGGTGAGAAGAGCAGGGCAGTTGAGAGAAACTGGAATGGACTTCTGAAGGGCAGAAGTCTTTCAGCTTCTGATGAGTCAGTTCCTATCATGCTGACGTCGTTGTTCATGCTTAGAAGTGGCACCAAGCTGACTTTGTCACAAAGGAAGAAGAAAGTTATCCCTTCTGTCCCTTGTCCACTTTGAACACAGTATGGCTTTATAAGACTAAATAGCTGCCCACAGGAGGACAGTTTAGGGATCCTGTCTCTCCCTATTTTTCACTTATCTAAGGTACACATCATAGTCCTGGGGGGCACATAATCTCAAATAATCAATATAGATGGTTGTTTTAGATCCTCTTCCATAACCTTTCTGATATGGAAACAGAAGACTGTCATCAATTTTATGAGGCTCCTCACTAGTGCAGTAGGACTTCATATTACTGGAGTTTTTTGTGGTTTTAAAAATATTTTCATATATAATACTTAAGAAGATTATTACAGAAGCAGAGATTTCAGGGCAGGCATTTTTCCCTCTGCTAGAAAAGAGGCAGTGAGAAGTTCGAATTAACTGTCCAACATAATGGAAACTAGTAATTGACAAAGTCCCAACTCATACCACATCTTTAAGTTTTTAGTCAGACAGCTGATGGGTTTGTCTATTTCTCAGGGTCCCTTGAAGAATACTGTGAGTTAAGAGTCAAGTTGTCCTGAATATGCCTTGTTACTTAGCTCAGGATAAATAAGCAATATCCTTAACCAATAGAGAAAAACATAAGAACTTTGTGTCACAACTTTTAATAATATTTAAAATGGAGAAGAAAACATGGAAGCTCATGTTCATTCAGGTGAGCCTGATAAGTTTCCCTGACAGTGATGCTTTTAGATGGTCTGTATCTTAGTCTGAAATTTCCTTTGTCATATGCTAGCTCTATTAGTTGAATACCAAACTGTAATTAATAATTTTAGATCAAATGAGCATTTCAAATAGAGGAACAGAAAGATAAAACATCATTCCAGAGTCTTTCATTGATTCATTTGTTATACCAGTGTGCAAATACAGTATTATGTAAAAGAAGTACTACATAGTTCTTAAGACAGGTTTTAAAACCAAAATTGGTCCTTATTGTCTTACCTTGAAGCAAAAAATATATTTAAAAGGAGGAAAGATAAAATAAATAAATGATAATGCTGCAGGATAATTAAGCAGCACCAAGATAGAAAATAAGATGGGAGAGGAATCTAGTCTGCATAGAAATAAGGGCCAAGAAAGTCAAGTTGGCAGCAAAATCTGCCAGGAGGGACAGGGTAAGAAAACAGTTATTGTTGAGCAAACAAACCACCAACAAAACCAAGCCAACTTAACAAGGAGAACAAACAGAACAAATAAAAACTGAAAAAGTAGACAATAGATTGATATGATTTTGAGAATAAAAAGTTTCTGGTACACTTCTTGTTTGAAAGTAGGGCCAGGGATATTAGAGTATTGGGTTGGGAAAGTAAGCAAAAGCCAGCTTATAAAGGGTCTTTCTATAAAGCGGCCTGAATGAGTCTCTTAATAAACTTGGATGTCATTGAAGTTCTTTAGGTAAGGCATTGACTTAACACAATTTAGGCTGTGATAGAACTTGTCTGGTTGATATGTAAAGAAAGGTTTAGAAACAGAGGAAACACGAGACATAGTTGAAGCTTTTGTGTTTCAGAGTTTGGTTGTTGTTGTAATTGCTATTCGTTATGTAGATGGATGCAGGGGATGGTGCAGATGCAGGAAGGATGGACAGAAATGAGCAGAGAAGATATTTTGGGGATTTTAATTCAACAAAAGTGATGGAATATTTAATATGAATGATCAAGGAAAGCAAAAATAGCTCCATGATTTCTATTCTAAGAAACTGAACAAGTGTAGTGTTTAAAGCTATGGGGGACTGTCCAAGTTTTGCTCCCCGGCTCACTTGCTAGTAGAAGAGTCAGGAAATCAAGTCATAAGACAAGGGAACTATTCAGTGTGCTGTGAGTCTGGTGTCAGCAAACATAAATCATGGGAGACGGTTTTAACCACACAGTTGGAAGGGTTTGTTGATAAAATGATACCTTAGCATTGAACATAGATGGATAAAACCAGGAAGCTTGTTTGGGGAGGGGGTCTTCTAGT